AGGAAACAAATAAAAATAACGTTGAAACGTTTCAGGGGTTTGAACACCTGGTACGGATCTCAAATAATGACAGAAGGGGGATTTTTATTGAATAATGCAGTTTTTAACGGTGGGGTCAATAATGAGGGGAGACCTTATTCCCTTTACTCACCCGTCATTGCTGTCGAAAACGATGAAATTTGCGGAAGGCGATTGATTGCAGGTGAATTTTTTTTTTTTTTCGTACATTGTTATTTTCAATGGAAATAAATTTTTTTATTTAAAATACAATAAAATTCATTTCAGGTACCGGAGATGCCATCATTGCTGCTCAAGTGTTGGCAAATGCATTACTTTTTAATAGAAACGTTACCGAAAGCGTCGAATTTCCTAGATTTTTTGTTAATAAAGTGCCTAGAAGTTTAGAATTAGAAGGTAAAATAGAAAAACTAATTTCCCTCTCCCCCCATTCCCGCCATTTTACCGTTAAAATTTATATTGTCATTTGCCATATTTGATTTAATGTTGATGTTAATGTATCATTTTTTTTTTTTGTTTTTAGATGAGCACAGTCCTTTTTTTGATTCTTTTACATTGAATAAAATAAAATCATTAATGAATATCACAAATATTTCACCTCCTTACAAAAGTTGTAACGCAATAGAAAAAATAGAAGATAAAATAAGTGGACATTCTGATTCCAGAGGATTCGGTTCAGCTTTATTATTTTAATTAATTAAGTTTTTTTTTTTACTAAATTTTTTTAACAAAACCAAAGGAAGCTTTAACATTTATAAATATATATTTATAAATTTTATATAGAAATAACTATGCAGTATTTTATTTTATAAATATTTTATATTAAAAAAAAAATTATTTATTTATTTTATTTACAAAAATACACATGTATAACTAATTTTTTTAATTTTGTTTTTTTTTTTTTGTTATTATTGATCATTTTATTTATTTATTTATTAATAAGGATTTTATTAAAATCAATTGTAACTGATATAAAAATATTTATGAAAGTTTTAATTAATACAATTTTTATGAAATGGTAGACATGTTTTTTACAATTTGAATACATATCATTGTTAACAGTATAAAATTAATATGTAATTTAAAAATAATAATTTATTATCAAATAATAAAATAATAATAATTTTAATCTTAAAAATATTATTATCGGGTTTTTTTTTATTATTTATTATTTATTGATTATAAACAACAAATTGTTTTTTTTTTTTTTACTTATTCTTGACTATTTGCTAAATCACGGTTAGACGAGTCAAGGTTTTTCAATTATGATTCATCGGGAGAAAATGTCTAGTTTAAAGTATAATTTTTATTTATTTTAATTGAATGAATTATTATATAAAAGGAAAAAAAAAAAAAAAAACTTAAATGTATAGTTTAAATAACGATTACATCTAATATGTTTTTTTTTTTTTTTTTTTTTTGATACATTATTAGATAATTGTTGTGTAGATTACGATAAAAAAATTATAAATTAAAATGTTGTAACCGTTTAATTCGGAAACATTCGTCTCTCGCCCTTGTGTACACGACGTTGGCTTAAATAAGGTAATTTAATTATTAATTTAATTATTTATAATAATAATTAAATTTATTAATTAATAATTATTTTATTTCATTATTAATTTCGTTTTTTTGAAATTTTAAATAAATCACAAACCGTTTTTTTTTATTAATAATTGAAAATTGTCATTTTGAATTCTTTTTTTTATTATTATCATTTTAATAATGCGTAATTTATTGATATTTTTTTTGGTTTTCTTAAATTTTTAAAAAATAAATTGGAGTTTTATTTTTATTTTTTAAATAATTAATAGAAGCAATTCATGATGAAAAATTATAATTAACCTCTTTAAATTAAAAATAAATTTTTTTTTTATAAATGTCACTTTTTTAAAAATCGGTTTTTATTAAAATTGCTAAGTCACTTAAAATAGTGAAGTCATTTTTTTTTTTATTTTTTTGAATAAAAACAAGTTAATTAACGTTTTAATTTAAGGTAATTTGTTTTTTCTTCATAATCTGTTTTATAATTTTTAGGTTTTCAAAATGTTATTAAAGGAATTTACATGTTTGCTAATAATAGCAATCAGTATTTTACAAACTAATGCCAGTGATAGTAACGGTAAAGTATTGGAAACATCTGATTTATTGAAAAAGGAAGGTTTTATAAAAGAAAAGAATAATATTAATAATAAAGAGGAAGAATGGAAAAAGCATAAGAATTTTAATTCCGAAGAAAATGAAAAATTTGATAAAGATAAGAAAACCTGGAATGGTCATCAACATCAAAACGGTCGTCATGTATACAAAAAACATTTGGATAAGTTAAACGAAATTGACAGCGATGAGTATGTGGAAAAACACAACAAGTATGGTAAAAAATTTAACCCCGATTTAATTGATAAGAATATAAAAAAACAAAAGAAATATTATAAAGGGGAAAATTTTGATAAAAATAAAATAAAGTCATTGGCCTACGATACTGATGTGAATTATATAGAAAAAAATTTAGAAATTGAAAAAAATAGCGAGTTGATTAGCCAAAAATTTAGAGAGCAAGAAAAAACCAAAGAAAATTATCAAGAAAACTATCAGAATAAAAATGAATTTTTTACTAAAAGATCTAAAAAAAATTTTTACGATAATATAAAAAATATTGATTTATCAAAACCTCCAACTAATGATACAACTCTCTTGGCTCGTTATATTGTTCACGCAGTAGGTGTGTATGATTAATTTCAATCTTTTGTATATTTTTTATATATGACAAAATAAATTTGTATGATTTTTGGTATATTTTTAACAAAATTTCAGATTGGACTGCAATGGCAACATTATCAACAAAAAATTCGACTAAAGGTGGACCTTTTGTTTGTGTAAAAGCAACCAGCGATGGACCAGTCGATAAATCTTCTGGAATTCCATTCTTTTACTTAAGTTCACTCGATATTTGTGCTAAAGACCTTGAGGTAGGTAAAAAAGTTTATTACCCCTAAAAACATTTCTTTTTTTTTATTAGGAAAATTAAATTATAAATTATTATGATTTACAGAAAAATAACAGGGTGGCTATCTTAGCAACATTGTCTCAAACAGATTATTGTAAAAATGAAGATTTGGATTCGCAAGACCCAAGATGTGCTAAAGTTACTTTATCTGGTGAAATTAAAAGAGTAAAACTTGGAACTGATGAAGCAAGATTTGCCAAAGATGCTTTATATTCAAGGCATCCAGTGATGGCAGCCTGGCCTCAGGGTAAGCAATCTTAATTGTTTGCTCTTAGTATGATTACTTAATTTTCTTTATATCAAAAATAATTAAATTTTATTTTGATAAATATTTATTTATTTTTTCAGGTCATTCATGGTATTTTGCAAAATTGAAAATCAGTGAAGTTGCACTTATTCACACATTCGGTGGAGTAAAATACATAAATGTAAAAGAATATTTAAATGGTGGCCCTTTGAACACCATAAAGTAAAGTTTTTAATTTAAAGGACTAACTAAAATCAACAATCTAATACATTTAATTATATTTTAAAGTAAGTAACAAATACAATATTTGATTTTGACTAAATTATTTTTGTATTTAATTAGTTGACTTTTTTTAATTGTACTTCTGAGTAATTCTAGTTAATATTTACAGTGTTTAGTACTAATTAAAATGTTTTTATTTATTTTCTTTTTTTTTTCGTTGACGTCAAATAAGTATTAAAGTCAAAATATTTTTAAAAATTAAAGAACAAATAATTGAGCAATGGTGCACTTTTTTTTTTTTTTATTTATTTTATGCTCCTATAAAGTTTTCCTAGAATGCATTTTTAAATTACTTATAAGGTTTATCAAAGATACAAATCTTTTGAAAAAGGTTAAAGCATTTAATGTACTTTAAAAGTATAAAAAAAAAAAAAAAAAAAAAAAAAAACAATTTCGATGAACTCCACTTATTGTGTCAATGACTCTCCTCGTTAAAATGTTATATTACGGTATTAACCATGAATTATAAAGATTTTTTCAAAATTTTTTTTATTACAATCTAACAAACTTTATAACAATATTACAAAACATTGGACTTAAAAAACAATATAAATAAAGTAAATTTTATATATATATATTTTTTTTAATAGAAATAAATTTTTTTTTTTTCTTATTGATAAACAATAAGAAGAAATGTTTGTTAATAAAAGTGTTTGTAGCGCTTTGTGGTTAAAATTTGTACTGTTTTATTGTAGTGCATTGTCAAAATAATTTTCCATAGTTTTATAATAATGTTATTTAATTTTGTAGGAAAAACCGAATGCTCATTGTAAATTAATAAAATGTATTATTAGGCTTTTGTAATATTTTTGATAAAATTATTTTTTTGTCAACCTGGGGAACGAAAAGAAAAACAGTGGTTTGATTTGTAAAAGAGTTAAATTCAAAAAAAACTCGAGATATGTCAAATTTAAATTTAAAAGTAAAAACAAAAACGGGACAATTAGTGGTTAAAGAATTATCAAAGTTTAATACAATTCATGATTTAAAAGTGCAATTATCACAAAGATGCAAAATATCTTGTAATGCTTTACACATATTATCTGGGTTTCCACCTAAACCAATTAATCTAACTAATGGTTCACTAACTCTGGATGCAATAGGTTTAAAAAATGGTGACACGTTAATTGTAGAGGAAAAAGTAGAATATATTCAAAATAAGGAAAATGAATATCCAATATCTAACGATGATAAAACTGCTCATATTTTAGAAGAACAATTAACTTGCCCTGGTATATTAATGAGAAAAGTTGTTCCTGCTGACAATTCTTGCCTCTTTACAAGCATTGGATTTACAGTTACAGGTAAGGTTACACTTCATTTAATGAAAAGATATCAAAAAAATTTACCAAGGAAGTTTATTATGATATTACTGTCAAATCATTTAAATTTTGTTTTTAAAGGAAAAGTTGACACCATGTGTGGTATGTACATGAGAAAAATTATTGCCGATTATGTGGCTCAAGACACTGAAACATATTCAGAAGCCATCTTGGGTAAATCGCCGAAAGCATATTGTGAATGGATAATGAAACCAGATTCATGGGGAGGAGCAATAGAGTTATCTGTAAATTTTATATCCTTGTTTATAAACATATTTATTTATTATTGTACTTACAATTTAAACAAAAAGTATTTTTAAAATTACTTTTAGATTTTATCAGGCCATTATGGTATAGAAATGGATGTAGTCGATACAGTGAATGCTATAATTAATCGATTCGGAGAAGACAAAAATTATAATCAAAGAATTTTTTTAATTTTCGATGGAGTGCATTATGATCCTCTGTACCTTGAACCAAGTTTGGTAAGTTTGAAATTACAAATTTAAATTATACCACGAGTAAAATATAACCAATAAAAAATTGTCAGTTTGAATTGTAAGAAATTTTTAATAAAAATGTTTAAAGATAATTTCATTATTTTTTTAGGGAGGTGATATACAAACCATATTTCCAATGTCTGATGATAATGTTTTTCAAGAAGCTAAATTATTGGCTCAACAAGCGAAATCATCTAGACAATATACTGATGTTAATAAGTTTTATTTGAAATGTTTAGATTGTCAAATAATTATGAAAGGACAATTGGAGGCTCAAGACCATGCCAAAACTTCGGGGCATATTAATTTTGGAGAAGTAGCAAGTATGTTTGAAACCTAAATGCGTTTTTTTTTTTTTAATAAACCAATTTTGTAAATTTTACTTAGGTTTTATAAAATTTTTAACTGGTTTATGTTCAAATAATTAAATCTAATTTAAAAACTTTTACAGTCAATATATAGTTTTCAAGATTTATGTTGTATTTAAGTAATTAAAAATTAAGTTATCAATACCATTATTAAAATTTTTATAATATTTAGTTAATTTAAGTTTTGTTAAACTAAAAAAAATTTGATTTTAATATTGGTCACAAATTTTTAACACACACAATTTATTAAATATATGGACAAGTACTTTAGTATTGATTTAAATCTTTTTTTTTTTTGATTTGCATAATAATGCAAAATAAATTAAATAATATTATTTGTGACAATGGTACTTTATTTATTTAAATTAATTAAGTTTAAAACTTAAATAGAGTTATTACTTTTGTACTAGTACATTTTCTTATTTTTTTTTTTTTGTGAAACTATTAATTGCCATAAATTAAATAAAATAGAAGAATATTTTTTTATAATTAATTTTTTTAAAAACGGATGTAGTACATTTTTATACATCTTTTTTACACATGTATTAATTTTAAATAATAAAATTATAATATTTGAAATAAAAAAAAATTTTTTTTTATATTTGAACGTTTTTAAAATACCTTTTTTTAAATAGAATATAGTTTTTAATTTAAAAGGAGAGGAATTTTTTTGGATTTTTACTTAATAAATTTTTTTTTGTTGCATTAAAAGTTGTAATTTTACAAGATTGCTGTTTTTTTTTTTTTTTGAAATTGATAATATGACGAATAATAGTTTTAAAAATTAACGGTAGATGCCACTACTGTCGTAATTTTCCGTTTCTTTCCTTTGATGATATTAAATACCAATGAATGCGTTTTGTTGTCATTAACAAAAATTTTTTTTGGAGTTTATTTTTAATTGACAGAATGTACGTTAAATTATATAAAATTTGTCATATTCATACGTATAGGTGAAGATGGAAAATGATACAGACATTCGTGAACAATTATTTCACAATACGGTTCGTGAAAACGTTGTAAGTATTTTACTTGAAAGCTTCTAATAATAGTTTTTATCATTGAAAAATCGCTGAAAATTATTATTATTTACTTATTTCTAATCATACTTGTATTTTGTGTTCATTAAATTGTTTACTTAATAGTTGATTTTAAATGTAATTATTTTAGAAACTTTTTTTTAATTTTCTTCATTTTAAATTAATAAATTTTTTCTCCCAAAAATTCGGTTACCAAAAACATTGCTTACGTTTAATGTTTGACGGACCTAAAAAAAAAAAAAAATTAATCTCATTTTTTGTTCTCATTTATTTTATCATTTTTTAACTGTTTAAATTTAACATATAAAATATTTATATATATCTTTTTCAGATATTTTTGATTCTTTTTATAGTCCTGTATATTATTAGTTTTACTATTTTGGGACAATTAGGGAAAAAAGAAGGGGAGCAGTGTTCTTCAACCGATAGTGATGATGTTGCCGTTTACAATATAAGCTTCTGGTTGTGTTCATTTTCCTTTTCTGTGTCTACAGGTGCAGCCTTGTTACTCCCTATTTCAATTATCAGTAATGAGGTTTTACTTCTTTATCCTAATAGTTACTATGTTAAATGGTTAAATAGCTCATTAATTCAAGGTATTCTTAACTTCCAATAGTGTTTATTTCGAATCAAAATTTAGGGATTTTTATACCCTTTTTCTTTCAGTGTCAAACTTTTATATCATTTTATAATTTATTTCAGGCCTTTGGAATCATGTTTTTCTTTTTTCAAATTTATCATTATTTATTTTACTTCCATTCGCATATTTGTTTATGGAGTCAGAAGGATTTCCAGGCTCCAAAAAGGGTTTGTGGGCTAGGGCCTATGAAACATTTACTGTATTATGCTTAGTAGCTGTGTTAGTCTTAGGAATGACTTACATTATGTCAGCTCTTATTGATGGTGATATTTCAGGCAGGCAAACACTGTTTAGTAAGTTTAATTTTAATAAAAACAACAAGTTTTGTTATGATTGATAAGCCTACATATCTTACAACAACAATAACAATAAAATACTTGGCAATAATCAAATCAATTAAAGTTTTATTTATATAAGTTTAAAATTTATAGATTTATGGACTTATTATTTGCCTTTCTTGTATTCCTGTATTTCGTTTGTCGGAGTGTTGATGTTGTTGGGTAAGTTTCTATGAAGTTTTTGTTTTATTGTTTTTTTAACATGATTTTATATCTTTCATATGTATATTATTTTTTTTTTTTAGTATGCACTCCATTGGGTTTTGTTAGGCTTTTTACTGTTGTAGGACAATTTTTATTTAAACCTCAATTTCTGAGAGATATTAATGAAGAGTACAATTTGACAAAACTTGAAGAAGACTGTATCAGAAGACGGTAAGTAAGAATGATTACATTTTTCTATAATATAAAAAAACTTACTTTAAAAAAATGGCTTATTTTAATTTCAATTACAAATTACTAATTTATTTTTTTTAATACAGGTTTTATTTGAGTTTTTTATTTTATTTTATACTTTTATAACTTTGGTTTTATTTATAAACTATATTTAGAAATGTTGTGATTTAAGCCATGATAAATATCGTTAATTCATTCTCCGAAGGAGTTACTATGGCAATTATAATAATATTTGAATTTTATTTCCAGACTGGAAAATGTCCAAAAAAATGGTAAAGCATACATATCGCCTCCACCAATATTTCCATCCATGTTTGAAAGTGTTACAGGTGAAGATGACATTTTAGAAAATACTCCGAAAAAAAAAAAATTATTTTCACTTCAAAATGGAGCTTTACAAATGGGACTGAAATTAATGCTTTCGAAAGTTGAAAAAAAAACAAAATTACTGGGTATGAAATTTACATTATGTTTTTAAAACATTTCTTTTTTTTATTTTGTTAAGAAAAGTATTTCATGTGAAACATTAACAGATGTGCAAAGAAGAGCTTCATTAATACAAAGGAATTTTGTTTATCCTGGATGCATGCTCCTACTTTTTGCATTGACAGGAATCGCCGTTCTAATTGTTGTGCAAAACACTTTAGAATTATTAATTGGAATCAAAGCTTTACCTTTAAGCACTAGAGTGAGTATTAAATTCTTTATATGACTCTAAAAAATCTCACATTACAAAAGTCAAGTTATTCAAATATAATTACTCATTTTAAATTTCTATTTTATTAATAATAATAATAATAATAATACGTTTCAAATTACAGCAATTCAGCTTGGGTATAAGTTCCTTATCGAAATTGGGGCCTTTTGGAGCTGCTATTGAAATTGTATTAATATTATATATGCAAGCCACAAGCTCTGTTGGGCTTTACACGTTGCCATTTATAAAAAAATTTCAGCCAAAATTAAACAATACTCCATTATCTCATACCATTGCCAATTGTGCACTTTTGCTCATTCTCAGTTCGGCTCTTCCTCTAATATCAAGAATATTAGGTAAAAAAAATTTATCACATGATTTTAAATTAGTTTTGTTAAATGACAAATGAAAACTAATTAATTTTATTACCGTTATTATTATTATTATTAAGGTATTACAAACTTTGATTTAATGGGAGATTTTGGTAAAATAGTTTGGCTGGGTAATTTTAAAATAGTTTTAATGTACAATGTTTTATTTGCTGGTGCGGCCACATTGTGCCTTACAAATAAATTTACAACAACCGTAAGAAGAGAGCTTTTTAGAAGGTAGGAAGGCGTAAATTAATGTTATTTTATATACCGTTATTTTTACTTTTTTTCTTTTTTAAACTTTCACTTTTTTCATAACAGACTTCGAGGTTTTGCTTCAGCCATATTTAGTGATGACACGACAAGACACATTCAAATAACTCCTTCACCTTCTCATTCATTAAAAGAAGACTGATTGATTCTTTTATACATAATTATAATCACAAGTTAATCACAATTTCTCTATATATATATACTGTATTTATTGTGATGACTTATATTTATTTATAAAATTAAAAAGTTATTTAAAATAAAATGAGTATTTTAAAAGCATATTTTTGTTTTTTTTTTTTTAAAGAAATAAAGTCTTTTTTCAAATTGATTCAAATAATAAAGAAACAGTATTATCATTATTTTTTTAAAATCTGTAAAATTTTTTGTTTAAAATTTAACTTTAAAAATTATGAGCTCATAATTGATCATAAATGAAAGAGTTAAGCTGCTGCCACTTAACAACTTTTTTACCTAATTTTTAATTATGAGGTATAAGTAGAAATGAATTTATTTAAAAGTTTTTGTGTAATATTTAGTTATTTGTGATGGAAAATAACTACTAACAACTACATTTTATTTTCTAATAACTGTTTCTTGAATGACCAGAAACTAATAAAAAAAGGAAGGTAATGTAATATTCAAATTGATTTTTAAAGAATTAGAGACAAAATCATGAATCATCAATTTTTACTTATAAAAAAATATATATTTAATTTTTTTTTCCAAATAAAGAAGTTATCAATTCAGCTCTTGATTCTTCACTTAAAACTGAATTATATACAGGCATCATAAAATTGACTAATTTCGGATGCACCACAAATCTAACTTTTCTACCCTTGGAAGCTTTCGTATCGACAACTTTTTTCATTTTGCTACGAATTTGTTGCAATTGCATCCATTGCCTACCAAGTTGTACAGGATCAGTTAAATTATTTGCTTTTCTTTTAACTAATTCACTAAGCAATTGATGATAAAAATCATCATCATCGAATATTTCTCTATTAATTTTTGTTTTATTTCTTTCATTGCCTATCAATGTATAATCACTGTTGTTCTCTTCAACAGCCATTTTTTTCAATTGAGGTTCATCATCATCTAATTGACCTAATATGTGATAACTAGATCTTTTAGTTTGAGTCCTTGTGATGAGCCTTTCTTTATTTAATAATACATGTTCTATTTGTTTTAATGTTGATTGTTCGAAAGCGCTAAAATTTTTACTACTTAAATTTCCTAATCTTGTTTTATCATCCCATTTTTGAATTGTGTTATTTCTATAAGTTTCAAAATGTTTATGCCTTTTATTAATTTCACTCGAAAAGTCTTTTAATTTTTTACAATTATTTTTGAAGGAATTTTTTTTTTCAAAGTTTTTATTTTGGCATGTGTTAACTGTATCTTCATCACTTTCTAAATTACTTTCTATTTCACTAGTGCTTTCATCATTTTTAGATTTGACTTCTTTATCGCAATAGCTATTATTAAATTCTTCATTATCATTCAAAAGTACTTCTTGTAGTGATAATAAAGATCTAAGTAAATGCTTGTAAGATTTAAAAGTTTTTCTTCTTAATTCATCAAATTCGGGATTTTCTTTAAATTTTTCTATATTCTTATATGTAGGCAATTGATTTGAGTTGACTAAACTGGGTTGTAATTTCATACGACAATCTAAAAAAAAATCCCACAAATGTAACTGATTCTTAATAGCCGCTCCTTTTTCAATGTCTTTTTCAGCATTTAGAAAAATTTGCTTATGGTTAATTTGATCAGATTGGTGATTTTTAGGATGAGAAACATTTTCTGTTTGTTTAGAATCTACATCCTGATCGCTGCTGAGAGAAAATTCTTCTTCTTCCTCTTCTTTTTCGTTCTCATCTTCATCTTCTTCTTCATCTTCATCTTCACTCTCAACATCACTATCACTACCTTCTTCATCATTATTGCCAAATTCATCATCCTCTACAGATGGTTCGTTCTCTTCGTCGTCACTAGACCCATTATCAAAATCGTACAAATTTTTTCTAGAAACACCTTTACCTTTATACTTTAAGTCATTTTCGTCTAATAGTGTGTCATTTAATTTACGAAATTTTGCGACATCGAGTTCATCTGCACTGAAATCGCTGTCATTAGATTTCGATGCTAATTTGTCTACTGTTATTAAATCATTGTCACTGTCAGAATCGAAACCTGACGGTTTACTTTGTATCAAAGATGAAAGTTTTTCTCCAACGGATAAATTTTTTATTTTTTTTTCAAGCATCTTATTAACGTATAATTAAAAGAACATTGAGGTTATGTTTTTCAGTTCAAAAAACCGGAAACGGATGATGACTTATTTTCGAGCCATTTCAGAATTATATCCGATAGTTGAATGTTATAAAGGTATTTATCAATACATTTTATACAGAACTTATTGTTTTTTAACTTTGAGATAATATCTACCAATTAAAATCCTTGTTAGAAAAAACATTATGCAGGTTATTTTGTTATAAGAAATATGATTGGTTAATTTTTACAGAATTTTCTAGAATGTTGTTTATTTAAAAGGGAATTGCAGAGTAGTTTCCTGTAATTTGAAAAGAAGAAGGCGTATTGAGAAGTCGCTACAAAAATTTCTCTAAGTCTTTTGTCGTTTTACTTAATTACAAGGTAAGATTTTATTTTATTTTATTTCATTTAGCATAAATTATTTAATATTAATTAAAAATAATTCTTTTGGATTTTTAAAAGTTATTAAACGTTTCACATTATTAGAAATTACGAAATTTTATTTTTTTATTATTTTTTTTGCGCGTCATACATTTTTTTTTTTTTGTAACCTAATTGATTGGGGATTATTTGTTACCGTGGAAGCTTTTTCTAAAGTTGATTTTTTATCGATCGCTGTCATAAATAATTAATATCTGTTGCGCAATCAAGCTTTTTTTTTTTTTTATAAATTAATTGATTTTAATTTTGACGCAGTAAATAAAATAGCTCTTAAAAGTTGACCTCGTGGGGTTTTTAGTCGCCCGCCTTTTTTTTTTTTTTTTTTCCTCCGCATTGCCGATGAGCATTGCTTGGGTGGGGAATAATGACTTTATGTTTTATGAACATTTTAGTTTTCATTTAGATTGAATAGATTAACTGCTTTTTTTTAGAAAAAAAAAAAAATTTTTATCAAATTAATGGCTAATTATTATTGAAACGCAAAAAAATCAATGAGGTCGATTATTTTTTTTCAGCTTAAAATTTACTAAATTATAATGGCTAAAGCACCTGCAGTAGGAATTGATCTTGGCACAACATATTCATGTGTTGGAGTGTTTCAACATGGTAAAGTTGAAATCATTGCTAACGATCAAGGAAATAGGACAACTCCATCTTATGTTGCTTTTACCGAAACCGAACGTCTCATTGGAGACGCTGCCAAAAATCAAGTGGCAATGAATCCAAATAACACCATTTTTGGTAAGCCTTTATTTTATCAACTTTTAATTTTTGATTGTGTTATTTTATTAAAAAGTAATTAGTTTATCTGTAAAATTAAGATTGCTTCGATTTTTTTTTTTTTTTAAAAATAAAAATAGATTTTCATAATTGTGGAAGGGGAAATATTTGATTTTTAAAGAAATTCACATCTCCCATTTTTTCATTTTCACAATAATAATTTTATATAGTAATGATGGTTTATATAAATCACAATGATTTTAATTTATACCGCCCCAGACTGATGATTTTGATGATTGGTACTAATGAGTGAATTTTTTTTTTTTATGTTAATTTTTTTTCCCTTTCGATTTCACTTGTATTTTGGGTTCTTGTATCAAATGTTTTCGATTGTAATCATTTCAGATGCCAAAAGATTGATCGGAAGAAGATTTGATGATGCTACCGTTCAAAGTGATGTCAAACATTGGCCATTTACAGTGGTCAATGATGGCGGTAAACCTAAGATTCAAGTACAATACAAAGGTGAAAACAAGACCTTTTTCCCAGAAGAAATCAGTTCAATGGTACTCACAAAAATGAAGGAAACGGCTGAAGCTTATTTAGGAAAAACCGTTACTAACGCCGTCATCACTGTTCCTGCTTACTTTAATGATTCCCAAAGGCAAGCCACCAAAGATTCCGGAGCCATCGCTGGTTTAAATGTTTTACGTATTATTAACGAACCCACGGCTGCTGCCATAGCCTACGGTTTGGACAAGAAAACAGCTGGAACGGGAGAAAGGAACGTCCTCATTTTTGATTTGGGTGGCGGTACCTTTGATGTTTCCATCTTGACCATTGAAGATGGTATTTTTGAAGTAAAATCCACTGCCGGAGACACACATTTGGGAGGAGAAGATTTCGACAACAGAATGGTCAATCATTTCGTGCAAGAGTTTAAGAGGAAATACAAGAAAGATTTGCAAACCAACAAGAGAGCATTGAGAAGATTGCGTACTGCTTGCGAACGTGCTAAGAGAACTCTTTCTTCATCCACACAAGCCAGCATTGAAATCGATTCGTTGTTTGAGGGTGTTGATTTCTACACTTCGATTACCCGAGCTCGTTTTGAAGAATTGAATGCTGATCTCTTCAGATCTACCATGGAACCTGTTGAAAAATCTCTACGAGACGCTAAAATGGACAAAGCTCAAATCCATGATATTGTACTTGTCGGAGGTGAGTGTCATTCATTATCTTAATTCTTTTTTAACTCGTATATTATATTGTACTTTTACATGCTAAATATTTTTCACCTTGATTATTTAAAGGATCAACTAGAATTCCAAAAGTCCAAAAACTACTTCAAGACTTCTTCAACGGCAAAGAACTCAACAAAAGTATTAATCCAGATGAAGCCGTTGCTTATGGAGCTGCTGTTCAAGCTGCTATTTTGCATGGTGATAAATCGGAAGAAGTAAGTTGATTATTGACTATTATTTTAATTTCTCGAATAAGTATTAAACCCTTTCCTCTACCAACGCCACGTTCGCATTAATTAATTTTAATGAACGAATGCCAGGTGGAAGGAAAGATTAAAGAATTCCTTCTAGGAAGCATAATCAGATGTAACGTCTTTTTGTGTGCCATTTGTAAGGAAACAATATTATTATTATTATTTTATTTTTTTTATTTTTTTTAGGGCTAAAATTCAATAAGTTAATAATTTGTTTTATTATGATTTCAGGTTCAAGATCTTTTGCTTCTTGACGTTGCACCATTGTCTTTGGGTATTGAAACTGCCGGAGGTGTTATGACAACTCTCATCAAAAGAAACACAACCATTCCAACCAAACAAACTCAAACATTCACAACTTACTCCGACAACCAACCCGGAGTACTTATTCAAGTTTACGAAGGAGAAAGAGCTATGACAAAAGACAATAATCTTCTTGGAAAATTCGAATTGACAGGCATTCCACCGGCTCCGCGAGGAGTCCCACAGGTTGAAGTAACATTCGATATCGACGCTAACGGTATTTTGAACGTTACTGCCTGCGAAAAGACGACCGGTAAAGAAAACAAGATCACCATTACCAACGACAAGGGTCGTTTGTCTAAAGAAGAAATCGAGAGAATGGTCAATGAGGCCGAGAAATACAAAGCAGAAGATGAAAAACAAAAGGCCACCATTTCAGCCAAGAACGCTCTTGAATCTTACTGTTTCAATATGAAGAGCACGATCGAAGATGAAAAAATCAAGGACAAGATTTCGGACTCCGACAAGCAAACCATTCAAGACAAATGCAATGACATCATCAAATGGCTCGACGCTAATCAACTTGCCGAAGCCGAAGAATACGAACACAAGCAAAAGGAATTGGAAGGCATTTGCAATCCGATCATCACCAAATTATACCAAGCAGCTGGAGGAATGCCCGGAATGCCTGGAGGTATGCCGGGTGGTATGCCAGGTGGAATGCCAGGTGGCTTCGGAGCGGGTGGTGCCGCGCCTGGTGGTGCACCTGGAGCCGGAGGCCCAACCATTGAAGAAGTTGATTAAGCCTTTAATGGTTTTAAAAAGCTGGCAAATAATGAGAAAGAGATTAGTCATGCCGAATTGTTTTATTTAACGTAAAAAATTACTTAAATCAATTCGTTAGCACATGTAATAAAAAACAAAGGTCATAAAATCAAATCAATCCGTCAAGAATGTGTACAAGCAAGTATTAATTTCTTCTCAAGTTTTGCATATGTTAATCGGGTTAATTGACTCGCTTTTAGCTTTAGTCCACCCATAAACGCTGATTTGTTTGTTTCGCTATCAAATGTAGTTAAACTATCAGATTTTTGTTGATCAATAAACTCGATTTTCGAAAATAAATGTATTTTATTATAATCATTCCTTTTCCATTAAAATATTCGTATGAATTAATTTTTATATATCGAAGTAATAATCGAATGTTGTACCTACGATTTTTTAGTTAGTCGAAGGACGAAACCTGAATCCTAGAGCAAAGTTATGAAATGATTGCACAAGTTAACAAGAATGACGTTATTATTCTTTAATGCCTTATTTCAGGTTATTACGTTTGAAAGTCAGGCACACGTCACATGATTTTTCTGGGAACGGATCACAAGTTATTTATCGACCATAGACAAAAAATTGTTTTTATAAAATCATCATTGCCGCGCTTTCTGCCGGTTATTTTTGTAACTTATTTATAACAAACTGTATATTTAGTTGAGAATAATGTTCACAGATGGTAGTAGCAAATAAGAAAAAAAATTAAAAAGGAGAAAGGGGGAAAAAATCATAACAAATCCATCATCAATGAATGGTTACATACAAAAAAAAAAAAAGATTTTTTTTTTAAAATCGTTAAATTGTTTTTCATTAAAAAAAAAAAAAGGTTGTTGAAAGGATGACGGTTCTTCCGCGGACCCCGGGAATGGTCCGCCGTTTCGCGATTTTCGGAAGCGGTCCTACGGGCGAAAGAGGACCACAAACGCGAGCGCGAAAAAAAATCCGAAATTCGTTGTCGTATGATCCGGACGGGTAGGATTAAGACCAGGTCTAAGGATAGGATTAAGGTTAATTTTAAGGATAGGTCTAAGGTTAGGTTAGGGTTTAAAAGGACAATAAATCCCGCTGATGAGGAAAGCGAGGAGGATGAAGAGGAAGAGGCGGCAGAAGGAGCGGTTCCGGACCTTCGTCATCGGCTGAGGGAGAGGAAACGTCGTCGTCGGAACGAGGAGGAGAAGGAGGAAGACGAAGACGAGGATGCAGACGATGATGACGACGGCGTCTTCGATTAGCGAAGTGCGGCGACGAACGCAAGCTTCGTCGTCGGTGAGCCTTCTTTAAAATTTCTCGGAGGTCGGCGGTCCCGGTCGATCTCCTCTATCTATCTTGCCCCTCATTTAGTCCTCATAACCCGTTAGGAGAGAATGCGGTCAACAAACGTCTTCACTTTCTTCTTTTAATTTACCCTTTTAAATTTAGGTGGCGAAGTTTTAGTCTAAATCCCCAGCCCCGGCCGCATTCTCTGGAAGCAGGCGAGCTTTCCGTCCCTTTCCCCCAAGCGAAGGGCCGGAGGACACTCCCGAAAAAGACTGCCGAACGTCCTGGAAGATGCGTTCTCATCTTCGAGGTGATGGCGGAACGAAGATTAGGGTGGGTCTCCCCACAAGAGAATCGTGTGGAACGGTAACGTTTTGGCTTACCGGAGAGGGGAGACTGAAATGTAGGTCATACTCCCACGAGCGCCTCCCCCACCTTCATATAAGCCACGCTTATGGATTCCCGGTTAGGCTTTATTTAAATCCATACCGAGTCCCACACTCTCTCCTGTCAAAGGAGGGGTAAGTGCGTAACTGCATTTCTCCTGGTCATCAAAAAAAAAAAAAAAAAAAAAAAAAAAAGGATGATGGTTCTTAGTCAATCGGACGGCGGCAGGGGCGAAACGCGGACGGACTGCGGGAGATGTTTCGTCGACCCGGCAACCTCGGAACTTCTCGCCGCCTCCAGAAGCTCACTTCGTCTCTGCGGGGGAGGCGGGAACGACGTGGCAGATCGGAACCCTCTCCCAAGGCACGAGGGAGGAAAGGATTCGTCCCGGTACTCCGAGTCGGGCTCTGGATCTCTTTCTCGATTACGTCGGGGGAAGATTCGTCCCGGCTTCGGTGCGTCGGTGTACTTCGCGGCGATCGGAGTCTGGCAAACTTCGGTCGTCGCGAAGTCGTCGAGGGGGGGAAACGAGGATTAATGTTTCTGATTTTCAGGTTCATGTCTTCGATCTTTCTCCCGGAGCGAGCAGCGGATGGAAACGGGCGGTCCAGCCGGGAGTAGCGAACCCGTCCGTGTCGTCCGGTTCCGGAAGGTTACATAGAATCCCATCAAGAGGACCCTATCTTAGCCCAAGTTATACATACGGAAGAAAAAATTACTGTCTCTCTCTCTCTCTCTCCTCACGTGAGCTCTCTCAAAGAAAAAGAAAAGAAAAGAAAAGAAAAATTCTATCATTTTTGTATGTAATGTTTATTTTTATTTTTTATTTTTGTTTTTGTTATTTAACGTTATGTAATTGTAATAATAACTGTTAACGCTGTTTTTTTTATTATATTCTCACTTTTATTATTTGCATGTTAACTTATATATATAAATTTATATATTATGATAATTTAATATTAATTTATATATTATAATAAATATAAATATATATATATTCTTAGTCTTATTAAATATATACACGTACAAAATTTTGCTTTAAAGTATAGTTATTTTATAATATAAATTTTATTCCTTTTAATACATAAGTTAAACATGAAAAATTGTGATTTTTTTTTGTGACCAATCACGAGTAAGAAGGGCGAGCCCGATAAATTTCTCATTATGTTTAGAAAGCACGCCATTGGTTAAAAATTGTATTGAAAATTGCATATACTCTAAATGCAAGGCGTTGAAGCGAAACGAAACTATCGAAAAACTGAGACCTCCTGAATATTATGTTTTACTGATACTCGGGACCAATTTTTCACTGATTTTTTCCGATTTTTTTTCGTCCGCCTTACTTTTTTCAGTTATGCAATTTGTCGTGTTTTCGCGTATTGCAAATTGCATAACCAAAATTGTATAAAAATTTCTTTTAAAAAAATGTTTTTCTTTCATGGGAATGTATGAATGATTTAACCAAACATGCGTGATGGAAAAAAAAAAAACAAATTTTTTTAAAAAAAATAATATATTTGAGAGAATAAATACATACATTACTATATTATTATTATTGTTATTATTATTATCATTATAAATTTGAAAAAAAAGAACCAACACTCCGTCGTCGCCTCTCTGCCGATGCGCACCAAGTACCAGTCGAACACCCCGTGGCCCGTGAGGATCTGAGCGAGACGATAGGTCAAGTTTACGTGACCCCACCCCACTCAGTCCTCCACTCGGGGGCCAAGGGCGACGACGATTTCGCCGCCGTACCGTTTACGTTTGTCGTCGAAGCGCGCCTGCCTTTGCGAACGCAAGGTTCCCTGCGGAACCGGGCTCTCCTCGGCCCGCCGCGACCCCGCTCGCGATAGAGGACGAGGCTCTCCACCGCGAGGAGATCGAGCGGGGGAGTCCCCGACAGAAGGCAAGCCACCTCCGCCGCGACGTCCCTGTACGCTTTCGCCTCCTTGTTCAGAGACGCCCTTTGGAGTTGAATTGCCCTCTCGCGAAGCGGCCGCGACGCCGCCACCAATTTGGCCCACATCGGTGCTCCGTACAGGCCCACGGAGTGAACGACCGTCGCGTATAATAGCCTGATCCTCGCCCGCGGACCCCGCAGGTTCGGTATCAGGCGCCCTAACGATGCGCTCGCGGCTCGGGTCTTCGGTCCGAGGAGCGCGAGGTGTTGCCCGAAAGTCAGACCCGAGTTGAAAGTGACCCCCAGATACCCGAGCGTCCTCTCCACCCCGATCCTGAAACCCCCCGACGACAGTGCCAGGCCGTTGGGAAGCCGATTCCTCGGACGGTGGAATCCGCAAGCTTCCGTTTTCGGCAGAGACACCCGCAGTCCGATGCCGCGGATGACCTCCACCGTCGCGCGAAGTCCCGTTTCGGCGCGATCCCGAACTTCGGCCCACCCGCGACCGGTCGCGAGGAGCAGGGTGTCGTCCGCGTAGCACATCAACGAGTAACCTTCGGGAAGGACGGTCCGGGTGAGGATGCAGTCGTAGGCGATATTCCAGAGGAGCGGTCCGAGAACCATCATCCTTTTTATTTTTTTTTATGTTGACCCAGGAGAAATGCAAGTTACGCACAACCCCTCCTGCTGCAGAGGGAGTGTGGGGATCGGTTTGGAATCTAAAGAATGCCTAAACGGGGACCCCTATTCACCAAATCTCCGGGGCATGTCGCTATAGCGTGACCTGTATGAAAAGGGGGGGAGATGCTCGTGGGAGTACAACATACATTTCAGTCTTCCCTCTCCGGCAGGTCAGAACGTTAGCCGTTTCAGGAGGTCCGCCTTAATCTCCGTTCTGTCTCCGCCCCAGAAGATGAGAACGCACCTCCCGGGACGTTCGGCAGTCCCTTTCGGGAGTGACCTCCGGTTCCTCGCTGTGGGGAATTGGACGGGAAACGCGCCTGTTTCCTGAGGATGCGATTGGGGCTGGGGATTGAGACTTACCACGTCACCTGAAAAGGGGTAAAGGATTAAAGTGAAGAGTTATTTGATCGCATACTCCCTATCGGTGTGGGGAATAGAAAGAGGGACAGAAGAGGAATCGACCGGGGTCGCCGACCCTCGAGAAGAAAGAAAAGAAGTGTGTGTGTGTGTTCGCCCGACGATGACGGGTTTGCGCCCGCCGCCGCCGCGCGTCCTCACCCTCAGCTTTGCGGAGACATTCGCGACCTGGCACGTCGCTCCCGCCTCCGTCGCAGGAGACGCGAGTTTCCGGAACCGAAGGACCCACCCGTTTCCATCACCTACGCGCTCCTGCCGCTGCTCGCTCCGGGAGAAAGATCGAAGACATGAACCTGAAATGAGATAACGTCAATCCCCGTTCCCTCCCCGACGACTCCGCGACGACCGAAAGTTTGCCAGACTCTGCCGCCGCGAAGAACGCCGACACACCGAGGCCGGGAAGAATCTCCCCCGACGTAATCGAGAAAGAGATCCGGAGTCCGACTCGGAGTACCGGGACGAATCCTTTTCTCCCTCGTGCCTCGGGAGAGGGTTCCGACCTGCCACGTCGTTGGAATGAGGTTTGAAACATTGAACGTTTCTCCCCCCGCGAATGTCGTACAAAACGCACGATGAATCTTCGTGTCCGGATACTAGGAGTCATACGGATGGATGGACGCAAACGGCAGCAACAGGTGAGCTCTGTAATCGTAGTAAAAACAAAAATTAAGTCATTTTCCGGGTGTAGATTTTTGTATTAATCAAAACAACGAACGCCAGAAATGCGTTCTTGACGTTAAAAAAATTTTTTTTACCCTGTTTCCGGGAGCCGTGACCGGGGTAACCGTGTTAACGCATCCGCGTACTCTCAAATCCCAAAATCGAACCGTTTTATCTTGACTTCCAGGTACGAACATGGCTCCGTCCCAGTTGTACAATGATAATACGTGTCCTCCGTGACCCGCGAGAGCTTGATACGGACTTCCCGTGGCACAATCAGTGACGTAAATTTTACAATCTCCCCTCCGCCAATCCCCGCTAATCTCAATCCCCGCTCCGCCGCTTATGAGCAAACTCGATTTGTTCAACGTGTCTTCCAGAAAGCACAAATCTCTCACCGTTCTGGCGTGCATGGACAATTCGATTTCTTGACCCTCAAAATTCGACGATTCCGGATTGAATTTCATGAGTTTGACCGTTTTGTCGTTGCTTCCCGTTGCCATAAGATCTCCTATCGGAGTCCACGCCATGCTTGAATAAAACGGCCGGTTGATACGTCGAGTGTTTCTCTAAATAATCGAAACAAACAAAAAAAACACAATGAATGAACGAATAAAATTCGACGAGACAACAACAGTCAAAGGAAACCCGAGGAAAAAGGAAAGGAAAGGAAAGAAAAGGGAAGGGAAGAAGGAGGAGGGAAAACATGTCAAACGATTTCACACATTAAATCAATTTTCTAAACAATAACGCATCTTTTTACTTTTTTCCCGAGGAAAGAAACATGAACGCGTTCGGAAGTGGCAAAGAATGCCATACAACAGGCGATTTTCGGAAACGGTCCTGCGGGCGAAAGAGGATCGCGAACACGAAAAGTCCGGAGTTCGTCGTCGTATGCTCCGGACAAGTGGGGTTAGGTCTGACAGAAAGAAATATCCCGCTGATGAAGAAGAAGAGGAAGGCGAGGAGGATGAAGAGGAAGAGGCGGCGGAAGGAGCGGTTCCGGGCCTTCGTCATCGGCCGAAAGAGAGGAAACGTCGTCGTTGGAACGAGAAGGAGGACGAAGACGAGGATGCAGATGACGACGACGATGTCTTCGATTATCGAGGTGCGGCGACGAACGAAAGCTTCGCGTCGGTGAGTCTTTTTTAAAATTTCTTGGAGATCGGCGGTCCCGGTCGGTGTCCTCTATCTGTCTTGCCCCCCGCTTAGTCCTTATTATTTAGGAGAGAATGCGGTCAACAAGCGTCTTCACATTCTTCTTTAATATACCCTTTATTCAGGTGCCGAAGTTTTAATTCTCCCTCCCGGGCGCATTCTCTGGAAGGAGGCGAGCTTTCCATCCCCATCCCCCCAACGAAGGGCCGGAGGACACTACCGAAAGGGACTGCCGAACGTCTTGGGAAGTCCGTTCTCATCTTCGAGATGAAGACGGAACGAAGATTGGGGCGGATCTCTCCACAAAAGAATCGTGTGGGACGGTAACGTTCTGACTTACCGGAGAGGGGAGACTGAAATGTAGGTTCTACTTCTACGAGCGTCATCATCATCATCATTCTTATAAGGTTGCAAATATTGTAAAGACCGAAAGAGACAATCGGAAAGGTTTCACTCTAAGATGAATATTGTATTAAATTAAGTATGTATATGTATATGTGTAATTATGGGAGACAGGACCTAAAGTGAAACCTCGGGAATGTCTCTCAGATTGTCGTTGGGAGAAAAGAATCTCAATCAGGTGGAGCGGATCTCTCCAACGGCTGTGCCAATGGAGGTTCCGTTCCCACCCTCGCAAGTGCGGATCTGATGATTCCGGCTTTGAGGGGGGGGTTGAGGCTGAAATTCGAGTCATACTCCTGCGACGTGAAAGGAAGACAGATGATTGGGGCCGGGAGTTGTGACGGGGATTGGGGCTCCTGTAATCCAGCCACTTGAAAGTCGAGTGCGGAAACATTTCCGACAGACCCGCGTTTAATCCGGGGATCCTTTCATCTGTCCTCCATTAGTCCTCATTAAAAAAATGATTAGGACAAAACGTGTATGAAAATTTTAAGGAAAAAAGAATCGGAAATGAAAAAGAAATCACAAAAAAAACTAATAATAATAATATTAAAAAAATTTTTTATTACATTTATTATTATTATTATTATTATTATTTTTCATTTATTATGTCGTACAAGGTATATCACTAATGAGGAAAAAAAAAAAAATTTTTTTTTTGTTTTCGTTTTTTTTATGTACAATTTAATTTATTTTAAAAATAAGAGACTCCATTTATTATTATTATTAATTTTTTTTTCACAATGTTTTTTCGTTGGCGAGCGGTTGTAAATTATTATCATTATCATTATCAACATATCGACTATCATTTATTATTATTATTATTATTAATCAAAGTCTTTAATTATTTGAATAATTTTCATTTTGTTTATTTTTTTTTTGCCCATCCGATAATTAATTTACTATTTAATTAACAAAACAACCGCCGCCATTTTCTTTCCTTTCCTTTCCCCTCCCTCCCCCCTATCCCATCAAATTTAAATTAAAAAGATAATGACAGGAAAATAAAATAAAATAAAAACTTTCCGACAACGCAAATTGAAAAAAAAAAAAAAAAAAACAAAAAAAAAATTTAAAAAAATCGTCCAGCGACTTAGAAAAAATAAAAAATTTTTTTTATTCGCGTGTTTGTCCGTTTGTTTGTCCGTTTGTTGTTTGTTTTTTTGATTTGATCGAAAGTTATACAAAAACGCTCCGTTTATAAAAAGTTAATTTTTCGGGGGAAAAAATTATTATTATTATAAATATATCGACGATAATCCGATCGGAATTTATAAAATTTTCATATTATTATTACTATTATTATTATTATTATCGTTTTATCTTCTGCTTCCGTTTGAAATTATCACAAAAGAAAAAAATAAAAATAAAAATACATATATAAAAATAGAAAAAAAAAAAAATTATTGTTTAACTTTTAACTACGTCCTGACAAACAATGGCTCCTCTTCATCGGTATCCGATATTTCTTCATTAAGTGTTATTTTTTCTAGGCATCCGGTACGTTCGCTGTGACCGCCGTTATTATCCGATGGTACTTTTACGTAACCGGAATCTTCAGGTTGATTCCAAAATGATTTCGAACGTACCTGAAAAAAAAAACGTGTCATTTTTTAATCGTTGTTATTTTTATTAATTAATAATTTGTGTTGGTGTTTTTTTTTTTTTTTACTTGTAAAATTGTAAATATAATTCCGAAAAGTAAAACTATTGTTCCGCAAAAAGCTACGGCGACGGCGGTAACGGAATTTAGAGCCAATGAATTTTGTGCTCTTTTAGTTTGTGATGAATATTCACCGGGTTCGGCGCTTGCGGCTATCCTTCTTTTTCCGGCTGGACTTGAATTTATGCAATTTCCTGTAAAAAAAAAAAAAAACAGAAAAATTACGTTTCGCGATAGGTTTTATGTATTTTGGTTATGAAAGGTTGACAAACCTGTTTCCTTGTCGCAATGACAACAATTTTGCTGTTCGGATTGTGTACAACAAGCAACGCATTGATTGTTTTGAGAATCTAAATGTAGGGGAAACAAACAAGCTAAACAGGAAAATGCTCCGGGACCGCTACACATATGGCAGGATTCGTGACAAGGTTTGCATAGTTGTGTTGGAGGATCGTAATATTGGGATCCTATGCATTCCATACATAGTCCTCCATCGAGCATGTAATGTGGAGGACATGATGTGCACTGTAGCGGTCCTTCACCTGTCAACAGAAAACATTTGAAAAATTTTTTTAATAATTTTTTATTAACTATTTTCTCTCCATCGTAAATTTTTTTTACCTTCGCAGGTTCTGCAAAAATGATGACATTTTTGACATCCGTATTTAGCTTTGAAAAAACCTTCCGGACATTCTGGATAACATTCACCGGCGGCTAATTGCCAACCGGCTGGGCACGTTATGCAATGATCACGTCTTGGACCTGAGCAGGTTTTACAAGAAAGGTAACACTTAGCACAAACTCCTCGATCGCTGTAGTATCTGTAAAAAAAAAAAAACCATTTACGTTAAAAACGGAATTTTTACGGAGAGGTTGCATTTCCGGTTTGAAAATTTTCACACTCACCCGTCGGCGCACACGGATCTACATTCGCCACTTTGTAATTGAAGACCTGTCTCGCAAGAAGTACAATTCAATCTAGATACGCATGATTTGCATGTGTGCAAACAAGGTACGCATTGTCCTTGTTCCATGTAAGTACCGTCTAGGCACCCTTGTAGGCATTTGCCGTTTTGTAAAAGGAGCGAAGAAGTGCAAGACAAACATCCTTCTTCTCCTCCGGATGCGCATGTCTCACAAGTGGAATGGCACGGTCGGCAATGTGACCCATCGAAATATTCGGCTGTAAATTTTAAAAATTTCCATATAATCGAAACTTTTTTTTTGAAAAATTTCAAAAGAAAAAAGGTTTTGGGTGAAGGTGCAAAAAAAAATCAAAAAAAGAAAAACTTACCGTAATCGCGGGATAAAAAACTGGGTAAGAAAAGAAACAAAGATCTTCGAAAAGGAAAAACAAAACTTTCAAACGTTCTGATAGGAAAAAAGGATGAGAAAAGGTTAATGAAAATCATTCATCATTATCATCATAGCAAAAAAGGTTTGAAATCGAAAAAGACTTACAGGAATCACATTTGACGCTACCAATGGGCACGCATTTTCCTTTTTTATTTAACGTCCAGTCTTTCTCGCAAGTTAAACATAGAGAATTGCTACACGTTTCGCAACCTCTCGGACAACTAAGACACTCTTTTCTTTTTTTATTAGCGTAATGTCCAAGAGGACAAGTCGTTAAACATTGTCCGTTAAACGAATATCTTCCACGTTTGCAAGTAATGCATTGTGTTTCGCTGGATCCGTTGCAAGTTTCGCAAGACGAATGACAAGATGCGCAACTAAAAAAAAAAAAAAAGGGGGAACCGGAAGAGGCGAACGTTAAAAGGGGAACAGTTATATTGACAGAAAAAGAATAACGCGTTCAACTTACTTGTAATCTTCCGTTTCGTACGAATATATCGGACAAGCTGCATAACATTTATTATCGAACATGACCAAATGATGATCGCAACTTGTACAATAATCGGGACGATCGACGCAAGATGCACAATTCGGTTGACAGGGAACGCAAGTGTTCTGTTCGGAATTTTCGTAGTAACCATCTGGACATTGTTGTATGCAAACGGCCAAATCCGTGACTCTCAAATGAGCTGGAGCGCATTTCAAACAAGAATCTTGTCCTGGTCCTGCGCATGTTTCGCACGATTCGTGACACGGCCAACAAGCTCCTCCCTGACTTGGAAAACTTCTCGGAGGACACCTGCTCACGCAAGTGTTGTCCAACTGATAATGTTTACAACTGACGCATTGCGTGGGTCCTTTACCGTAGCAACCTTGCGAATCGCATTCCGGATCGCAATTATTGTGAAGGAGTACTTTTATTCCACTTTTATCATCTCCATTAATCAAATTATCTTGAAGATCGTCGAGTTTTTCGTCTGGTAAATCGTAATAATTATTTATGTTGTATAACCAGAAGATGATTTGAATATTGTGAAATACTTACCGAATGGCGAAACTGCCGTGGATTTAATTTCACTTCCTTGTCCGCTATAAATATTCGGATAATTTTGAAAATGATTAAAACCACTACTCAAGTAATAGGGTTGTTCTTGAGGACGTGGAAACGCAAAAGGTTTCGATGCTGGAGAACGAAGTCTGATGGGATTTGTAACGGTACCGTAAAAAATCAATTGCCATTTTTTCAATATACCTAAAAAACAAAAAAAAATTTAAATTTTTTTTTTTTTTATAAAAAATTCTCCAGGAAAGAATAAGAAGAAAGCGAGTAGGTTGGTTACCCGGTTGATTAAGGTGTCTGTTTCCGGTATTGATTATTTGTAAAGTCCATCTACCCTCGGCTTTTTCACCCCAATAGTGTACGCTTAAAAATGGCCAATCGTCAAAATTTGATGCTGCCACGTCTCTGGGCCTTTCGAATAAAAGCGTGGACGTAGTCCCTGGAAAAAATGAAAAAATTCCATAATGAAATGAAAAAGTTTTCATGTGAAAATTCAGTTTATTGTTAAACCGATACATGAAGTTAGCGGAACGTTAATTTCCCTGGAAAATTTTCTTTTTTTTTTTTGGTTCCAGCATAAAGAGTCAAAATATTTACCCATAGGTGAAGTTAATAATATACGTAAATTTCCTCTTGGCAAAAATCTTAAAGAAATTTTACACTGAACGTGTTCCAAAAACCGAACTTCGTTCACCGTGTCGCTACATCCGTTAACGTCCATGTGAAGCTGGAGAGTTTTTCCATGGATCGGTTCTATTTTTCTATAAAAAAAATAAAAATACGATTTCGTTAAACGATTTTATTTGACCTTCGACCCGTCCGTGAATGAATGAAGCGAAAAATTGTTTTCGTTGTAACTTACCTTTCTTCGTTTATTTCTTGTGATTTACAAATGTGCTGCGGCGGAACTGTTGTCCATTGTTCCGCTAAATTTACCATAGCAGCAGCGTCCATGAGACCGTATCCAAATTTATGACTTACTTTTCTTTTCACTCCATTAACCGCCCATCCAGATTCTTTTTCAAGTGGACCGGGACGAGATGAAAGTAAAACAAGGTATTGCATGTCTCTCCACGTTAAATGAGGATTTGCTTCGAGAGCCAAGGCACAGATTCCGGCAGCGAGGGGAGCGGAGGCTGAAGTACCTGAAATATTAAAAAAAAAAAATTATGATATTTTTTTTTGATTTCTCACTCGTTTCCGGTCGATGAAGAAATAATAATAATAATAATAATACGGCTCACCCGTGTGTTCGACGGTACAAATATGATCGGGTCTAAGTTTTCCATCCATATCGACGGTGGCGACACTTTTATCATGTCCGGGAGTTCCCGAACTATAAGTTGTTGCTAATGTCGAAGAACATTCTTCTAAATACCAAGGTTTAAAACCACCCTGGGTTGCCGAACTTATAGATAGAGTAAATATACTATTTGTGTAACCATCGCAATTACACGAATCCGTATGTCTTCCACCGTTTCCGGATGCCCAAACAAAAATCGAACCTTTTCCTTTTCGTCCCTTAAGGGAATAAAAAAAAAAAACAAATAATTTTTTTTTAAAAATCCAACCAAACTTCGAATAAATCAAATTAAATTAAATTAACGTACATTTGTAACGCCGTAAATAAAAGCTCTTCTCGCAAGTGGACCTGGTCCATCGACAGTTTTCCCATCGTCTTCGGGTCCCCAAGATGCGCTATATATATCAATAATGTCCGGATTTAAACCGAGAGCTTTTGCTTCCACGGCATCATTAACGGTTCCATCTAACATTCTTACACCTGAGAACGAAAAAAAAAAAAAAAAAAATATTTATGATTCAATTCCTTTAATCAATTCCCTTCTGCTTTTAAATTATTACTTATTCCAACTGGATGATGATAATAATAATAATAAAAGTTTAAACTTGGTTTAAAGTTTAAAAAATGCCATTCAATAAAAAAAAAAAAAAACAAGAATTAAAGAATTTTGTATATTTAAATAATTAATATTATCATTTCCGGTTCATTTATGATTATTTTCAATATGGCGGCGTTTGCGTTGGATGAGGTGAAGGGACGGGGGGAGTGGATGGGGGGAGAGGGACGAAGGGAGGAAGAAAAGTGAGAAAATTTTTGATGATTTTACCTCCTATGCTCGCATTATAAGCAACTCCTATACCGCAAAAATCATTGAAAGCAACGGCGGCAACTTCTCCAGCACATCTAGTTCCATGTTTATTGTCTCCATTATCTCTTGGCATCGGATCATCGTCGTTATCATTAATATCAGTGCTAGCTCCTCTGTGCTGTAAATATAAAATAATAATAATATTCATTTATCGTGATTGTCGTTTTATAATTTTTTTTTTTCCCCCCTGAAACCGGAAACGATTTTCGATTTTAACTATTTATTATAATCGACGACAGGAAGTGAAAAAAAAATAGGGTGGAGAGGTGAAGATAGAGAGGGAAGAAGAGATTGAGAGAGAGGAAAAAAGAGAGTGAGAGAGAGAGGGTTAAAAGGTTTTTTTTTTTTTTAAATGACTGACTCGGTTTTTACTTTTTATTTTTCTTCTTAAATATTTTTTTGTGCGTGCGTGTGCGTGTGTGCGTGAAAAAGTAAAAAACTTTTTCCGGTTAATAATTCAAAAGATGTAATTATCCAAGAAATTATTTTTAACGTTTTCAAAAAAAAAAAAAGAAGAAGAGTAGAAGAATTTTATATATAAATATTTAAGAGAAAAAATTTATTTTTCGTTTCAATTATTCGAAAAGTGGAAAAATTGACATTCCTGTTTGTTACTCCACACATTTTTCCTTCGGGATTTTTTTTTTAAAATAAAAATTATAAGGCGTTTAAATAAACGTTAATCATCATAATCATCATCATCATTATTATCGTCGTTAAACAAAAAAAAAAAAAAAAAAAACTCCACGATCGACTTCATTTTTTTTTATTTTATTCGGATGAAAGAGGAAAGAGAAAATCTTTAAGAAAAAATGGGTGACGGCCCGTGACGTAAGAGTGAAACAAAAAAAAATGGCGGCGGCGGCGGTGGGGGTTGAAGGAGGAGGGAAAGGAGGGGGAGTGGGTGGAGAAAGAAAAAAAAAGGCTTTTATAATAAAATAAAATGTTCGAACGTTGAAACATTTTTTATGTATCGGTTATACAAAACAATTTATTAGAAACTTTTGCCAAAGACCAGCAATTTAAACGTATAAATCTTTTAAAAAAAAAAAAAAAAAAAGAAAGAAAAGAAAAAAAAGGAAGTGGAAATAAAAACCGGAAACGACGAGCCAAACTATTTTAGTATGAAAAAAAAAAAATGTTTGTTTCTTCCCGTCGTCCGACATATATTTTCTTTTTTTTCTTTTTTTTTTCTGCTTCCACATGCATTCGTCCCTCGAGCAAGTCGGGGGGAAAAAATGTGCATAATAATAATAATAATAAAAAGCATTTATCCCGCGGGAGAAAATAAGACATGGGAGAAATCCAGGGAAAAAAAATTGAATTAAAAAAATGAGTTTGAAATTGATTTAATATAAAAAAAAAAAGAAAAAAATTTTCTCGAGATTTTTTTTTTATAGAAGAAGAGGAGGGGGAAGAGTGGAAAGAGGCGGAGAAAAAAGGGAAACGTGGAAAGAGGAGGGAAGAGGGAGAGAAAAAAGGTAAAAAACCCAAATCGATGACAAGTAAATAAAAGTAAATTAAAATAAAATAAAATAAAATCATTCCTTCGAGAAGGAAATTGAACCATTCACATCGAAACCTTTTTTTTCTTTTTTACACGCGCACACACCCACTCACAAACGCACAAAAGCACACGATGTGTTCCCCCAACCCCCTCCTGCCTCACCCTCACCAGTATTGTCACAAACAATTTATCCTACACTTTTGTTCCCTTTTTTTTTTTAGTTTGCCAGGCGAAAAAAAACGGATATTGACATGTTTTTTTTTTTTAAAAGACAAAAATAAAAAAAAGCCTTCGGCTGAAATTAAAAAATGAAAAAAGAAGAGAGAGAGAGAGAGAGAGAGATTGTATACGATTCAAATCATAAAGTGAACGAGAGGTAGAGAGAACAGGAGATGGAAACAGAAGAAAGAAAATAGGAGATAAAAAAAGAAGAAAGAGAGAGAAAAAGAGAGAACAGTAGATGGAAAAACAAGGAAGAGAGAGAGAGAAAGAAGTAAAAAAATAAATACATAAATACATAGAGAAAAAACTAAAAGACCAGAGCAAAAAAGAGATAGAGATAGAGAGAAACATTTTTTGTATGGGATTAAAGTTAAAATGTGTAAGAGAGAGAACGAGAGAGAAAGAGAGAGAGAGAGATGCAAAAAAAAGCTGAACACGTATTTTTTTTTTTTCGGAAAATTATATATATATATTTATTCCAGAATGATAAAAATTATCTTAACTAATTAAAGCAATAATTTTAAAAACTGGAATCTACTTTGTGTTTACATAATTTATATTTATTATTTAAAAGAGAGTAAAATTTAAACTATTCAACAATTATTTCCATTCTCTCTCTCTCTCTTTTTCTCAATTCGAATCCGATATTTATTTATTTATTTATTTTATTTTTATTTTTATGGGGTTAACGAAAAAAAAGGAAAAAAGGAAAAAAACCTTTTTCCCATTTCCAGTTTTTATTTAAAAAAAAAAAAATTTTTTTTAAATAAATATTTTAAAAATATTTTTACTTTAAAAATTAAACACGTTTCGTTAATCTCTTAGATTTTTCCAAAAAAAAAAAAAAAAAAAAAAAACGTTCTGGAACATCTCTTCTTCGTAGGAAAAAAAACTGGATTTTTCCAGTAAAAAACGAAAATCGAAGTAAAATTATTCATTTCGAAAGCGAAGAAATTTAAAAAAAAAATATAAAAAAAACCGGAAAATTTAAAGAGTGAAATAAAAAAGAGATAGAAAAAGAGTGAGAGAGGGAAGAAGAGAGAAGAGGGGAGAGAGGGGAGGAGAGAAAAGAGAGAGAGGGGAAGAGAGAAAAGAGAAAGAAAAAATAAAAAAAACGTGCTTTGTTCGGCACATTTGAGCCCAAAAACATTAAATTCATGCATTTGGCAAAGTATTTTTATCATCATCATCATCATCATTATTATTTCCTCATATAGATAAATTTTTGTTCAAAAATTTCTAGAAAACATTTTAAACATCCGCGAAATATTTCAGGTACCGAGAATTCAAATGGATTTTTTTTCCTCCCCCCTGTCTCTCTATCGTATAATTAATAATTTCAAAATCGGAAACGCGAAAAAAAAAAAAATTTAAAATTCAAAAAGTTTTTCCAGTTTTCTCCAGTCATTAAAAAAAAATAAAATAAAATTTTCAATATTTTAAACAAGGCATACGAAAAGATAAACAAACAAACAAACAAACGAAAAAGGTAAACAAGTCAACAAAAAAAAAATTTCTTTTTCCGGGTCAACGTGTATGTGTGAGTGTGTCCAGTCCGGATGACCTTTTTCCGTAATAATAATAATAATAAATTTTGGACAAAAAAAAATCTTTTAGTATACACACACACGCATAATTATAAATTTATAAAAAAAAAGGTTTCGTTTACAAAGTTGCGACAATTTCGTAAAAAGAATAAAAATAAATCGAAAACCGAATCCGGTGAATAATTTTCTTTTTTTTGTTTTTCCAGACAATTTTTTTCCAGTTTAAACAACAATTTTATTAATATTTAACGATATCCGGTTGTTCGAAAGCAAAAAAAAAAAAAAAACATTTGAATATTTTAAATAGAAAATAAAATATAACGATAAATAAATTAAATTTAATTATTTACATATAATAAAATAAAACTTTTTTCTTTTCCCGCCTTTTTTTTAGTTTTTTAATTTCAAAAAAAAAGGCGGGAAATGAAAAAATTTAAATAATTAAAAAAATCTTTTTTTTTTTCGTTTTTGTTTTTTTTTTGTTTTTCGTCCCCCCCCCTTCCCAATAATATTCGAAGCAAAAGAGAGAGAAAAAATTAAAAATTAAAAACATCAAAAAATTGTCTTTTGCTTTTTTTAAAAATTTATATAAAAACAAAATTCTATTTACACTTTTTTTTTGTATTTTTACACCGGCTCTTATAAAAAAAAAAAAAAAAGTGTCAATAGAAAAACTTTTTCATAATAAAATATACATGAACGAATTTTTTTTTTTTTTAGTTTCTTCTGCTTTTTCTTTACTCCCCCCATCTTCCCCACTCTTTCCTTTCCCCCGTTTTTTTCTTATTAAATAGTTATAAAAGTTTTAACGACTTTGTAGGAAAAAAAAAATTTTTTTTTTTCTTTAAATTAACTTAGCGAATGCAAGGACGAAAATGTCCTACGAAAAAAAAAGGAAACTTTTCCGGATGGAAAACTTATTATTATTATTATTATCATTAACAATATTATTTTTATTATTTTAATTCGAATCACTTTTAATTTATTTTTATTTAAAATTAAAAAAAAGAATTTTTTTTTTTTTTTTACGGTTTCATGGAAAAGAAGCTTTTAACTTTTTTTCTCCAGCAGAAAAGATTAATTATTATTGTTATATATATGAGAGTGTGTGCGTGTGTGCGTGTGTGCGTATGTATTTCGTTTTTTAAAAAAATTTTTTTTTTTTTTTTTTTAAGAGAAAATAAATAAATTTTTTTAACGGATTTAAAACCTTGTTTCATTTTTTAGTTTTCCTTTAAAAAGAATTTATGACTTTTTTTTTCTTTCTTTTTTTCTTTTTCAATCCGCCTATTTGTCTCTTTCTCTTTCTTTCTTTCTTTTTCTTTTCTTTTTCCTTATTTTTTTCTTTCTTTCTCTCTTTATCCGTCTGCTTTTTAATCTTTTTATTTCTCTCTCTCTCTTTCTATAACTGTCTACTATTCACTCTTTTTTCCATTCCCTCTCTGTCTCTCTCTTTATCCGTCTGTTCTCTTTTTTTTTTTGCCTTTTTCTCTCGGTATACTATTCACTTCTTTTTTTCCCTCTTTCTTTTCAATCCTAATTTCCTCTCGTTGTTTTTTTTGTTTTTCTCTCTCTTTCTCTTTTTCTCACTTCTTTTTTTTCTGTCTCTTTCTCTCTTTCTCTTTCTCTATCCGTCTGCTATCACCCTTTTTGTCTTTCTCTCTCGGTGAGTTATTCATTCCTCTTTTTCTCTCTCTTTCTTTTCCATTCTCTTCTTCTCTTTCTAATTTTTTTTCCTTATATCTCTCGGTAAAATATTCACTCTTTCTTTTTCCTCTTTCTTTTTCATCCCGTATTTCTTTTTCTGTTTATTCTACTTTTTTTCTCTCTCTCTTTCTCTGT